AGCCAGGCATGGCAGTGTACCCCTGTAGTCCCAGCTACTCGGAAGGCTGAGTGGGGAGGATCACCTGAGCCCAGGAGTTCCGTGCCACAGTGAGCTATGATCTCACCATTGCACTCCAGCCTGGGTGATAGAGCAAGACCTCATTTCTAAAAAAATAGTCTTACCTCTTAATACTATTAGAATGGCAATTAAACCTCAACACAAGTTTTAATTAAATTTCAACATGAGTTTTGCAGGGGACATTCAAAGTGTAGTGCTCACCATCATCTCCCATCCCAAGTACCCAAGGGCTACAATGCTGTCGCCAGAGCAGAAGTCACTGAGTGCCCATTGCCACCCCCTACAGATGCTCGTGGTCCCCAGCATCCCTGAGCCGCCAGGAGTGAGGGCTGCTGCTCCCCGAGACCTGGCTCCAAGGAGGATGCCACAGCCACCTCTCAGCTCCGGTCTGCACCATGAGTGATGAGCGGCGGCTGCCTGGCAGTGCAGTGGGCTGGCTGGCATGTGGGGGCCTCTCCCTGCTGGCCAATGCCTGGGGCATCCTCAGCGTTGGCGCCAAGCAGAAGAAGTGGAAGCCCCTGGAGTTCCTGCTATGTATGCTTGCGGCCACCCACATGCTCAACGTGGCTGTGCCCATTGCCACCTACTCCGTGGTGCAGCTGCGGCGGCAGCGCCCCGACTTCGAGTGGAATGAGGGTCTCTGCAAGGTCTTCGTGTCCACCTTCTACACCCTCACCCTGGCCACCTGTTTCTCTGTCACTTCCCTCTCCTACCACCGCATGTGGATGGTCTGCTGGCCCGTCAACTACCGGTGAGCACGTGAAGCTCTGGGCTTCTTGGGGTTCCATGCAGGCATGAAAACAAAGACATGTCTGGTGTGCCCATGTGCACATAGGAGTGGCCACACCTGTGGCATGCTGGGAGGGCAGGCAGGCTCAGGAGGGGCCGCTGTAAGCTGCTGGGGGCACACACGTAGCTTTGCATGGGTAGACACAAGCAGCCAACACAGAATGCTTGGAAGAGGGACGTGTGACAATGTTCATAGTGTCTCCTATGCAAGGAACAAGGCCCCACCACACTGGCTGTGCCATGACTATGATGTACTGGGGGGTGTGGGGTGCCTGGGTGGTGAGGATCCCCTACAGGTCCCCAGAGGCCTGGGGAGGCCCCTGTGGGTGACGCCAGATCCCTCTGTTCCACCCTGCCCCATGCCAGGTTAAGCAATGCCAAGAAGCAGGCGGTGCACACAGTCATGGGTATCTGGATGGTGTCCTTCATCCTGTCGGCCCTGCCTGCCGTTGGCTGGCACGACACCAGCGAGCGCTTCTACACCCATGGCTGCCGCTTCATCGTGGCTGAGATCGGCCTGGGCTTCGGCGTCTGCTTCCTGCTGCTGGTGGGCGGCAGCGTGACCATGGGCGTGGTCTGCACAGCCATCGCCCTCTTCCAGACGCTGGCCGTGCAGGTGGGGCGCCGGGCTGACCGCCGCGCCTTCACTGTGCCCACCATCGTGGTGGAGGATGCGCAGGGCAAGCGGCGCTCCTCCATCGATGGCTCAGAGCCCGCCAAAACCTCTCTGCAGATCACGGGCCTCGTGACCACCATAGTCTTCATCTACGACTGCCTCATGGGCTTCCCTGTGCTGGTGGGTGACAGTGTCGGGCAAGGGAGCCTGTCTCTGGGACAGCCCTGGGACTGCTCATACTCCAGGCATCAGGTGGTTGAGTCCTCAGACCCAATCCTTTGAGATGGGCTTGATCATTGTCCCCATTTTGCAGATTTGGAAACCGAGGTTCAGAGAGGTGCAAAGACCTGCCTAGAGTCAGGGCAGCCTGGTGGGACTCGAGCCCACATCTGGCAACTGCAGGGCCCGGGCCTTCCTGCCACAGTGCAGAAGAGTTTGCTCCCCTCACCCAAGGCCCGTTTTTTTGTTTTTGTTTTATTTTATTTTATTTATTTACTTATGTTTTTGAGACAGAGTTTTGCTCTTGTTGCCCAGGCTGGATGTGCAATGGTGCAATCTCAGCTCACTGTAACCTCTGCCTCCTGGGTTCAAGCGAGTCTCTTACCTCAGCCTCCCAAGTAGCTGGGATTACAGGCACCCGCCACCACGCCTGGCTAATTTTTTTAATTTTTTTAAATTTTTAGTAGAGACAGGTTTTCACCATGTTGGTCAGGCTGGTCTCAAACTCCTGACCTCAGGTGATCCGCCCGTCTCAACCTCCCAAACTGCTGGGATTACAGGTGTGAACCACTGCATCTGGCCTCAAGGGCCGTTTGATGCAGAGGTGGGATAGCATGCCCATGGGTTTCCTGGTGGATCCAGGTCCCAGGATGGACAGAAGGAGCTTTGGTGCCATAGGTAGGTAGGGTCGTTGGATCAGGAGACAGAGCAAGGCCAGGGCAGGCCTCAAATGTCTGTTGGGGAGTTGCGCTTGATACTAACTTCTGGGGAAGACCCAGGTGAGGGCTGCTGTGAGAAAGGCCTTGCCAACAAGAGTCTGAGGTCCAGAGGGGCTGCCTAGGGTCCTCTTGGTGAAGCTGGAACCAGCTTGGCCCAAAAATGAAGTCTGGACTCAGTAGCTAACCCTTCCCCACTGCAGGACTCTACGCCCATCCCCGAAAGGTCTGCAGTGAGACAGGGAGAGGACTGGAGCAAAGACTAGCCTGATGTGTTTCATCCAAGCAGCAGGCAAGACTGCCTCCCCTGAGTCACTGCAGGACATGAGGACACGGGCTCCAGAACAGTGACTCGGGGGGTGGAGCTTCAGAGTCGGAGCCTTGATCAGGAGGCAGCCCCCACTGCCCCACCCTCAGCAGTCCTGGTTCCCCCCAGCTAAGGGTCTTCATGTGTACAGTGGGGCCTGGCGGCCTGGCCCCTGTGCAGATGGAAGGCAGGGGCTTCGTGAAACAGCAGAGACCCATGAGGCACCTCGGGAGCAGAGTGGGGGCAGTGTGGGGGAGGGGCGGGCTGGGAGGGAACTGGAGCCATCCCCGCTTCTCTTAAGGACAGGGAAGAGGATACAGCTTGTGGGACTATTCCATGCTGCTGTTATAAAGTGTCCAGAATCTTCGCCCTCTAGAGCAGGGGCTGTTCTTAGCCCATTTTCCAGATGAAGACACTGAGCCCCAAAGAGGTTTAGCAGCTTTCTGAGGGTCACGTGGCCCACAAATGACAGAACCAACATCCCCACATCATCCACACTTTCCTCTTTTGTGGCAATCACTTAAGTATCGCTCTTTGGGACACAGCAATGAGGTCTCTCCTGGGAGAGGAGGAATGCAGGGTCCCTGGGCAGGGACCCAAAAGCAGGGTTAGGGCCGAGGAGGCCACTGGCTGGGAAGCGGGGGGCAGAATCTTGAATAGGCTTGAAACCTGGTTCTCTAAGCCTCAGTTTCCTCATCTCAAAGGGCGTAGCAGCCAGGCACAGTGGTTCATACCTGTAATCCCAGCACTTTGGGAGGCCGAGGCAGGAGGAACGCGAGGCTGCAGTGAGCCATCATTGAGCCACTGCACTCCAGCCTGGGTGACAGAGAAGACTCTATCTCAAAACAAAGCGGGGAGGAGGTGGTAATCCATGCCCCACTTCTCTCCATAGGCAGCCAGGAGGGAGACAGAGCAGGGCCACCCACTGCTGCCCAGCAGCCAGGTAGCTCCCGGAGGGCGGGGCCTCCCACTGCCAAGCTCCAGCCCTTTCCTCCCGAAAGGCCCCTTCTCCTTGACAGGTACCACCTGTCAGACCTGCCGTACACATGGGGAGACCGAGACTCGGGGAGCTTGTGTGATGGTGGGGGGTCCTGCGGGTGCCAGGCCAAGCCCTGTGCCCACAGGTGGTGAGCTTCAGCAGCCTGCGGGCCGACGCCTCAGCGCCCTGGATGGCGCTCTGCGTGCTGTGGTGCTCCGTGGCCCAGGCCCTGCTGCTGCCTGTGTTCCTCTGGGCCTGCGACCGCTACCGGGCCGACCTCAAGGCTGTCCGGGAGAAGTGCATGGCCCTCATGGCCAATGACGAGGAGTCAGATGACGGTGAGGATGGCCTAAGAGTGACCCTGGGGAGAGTGGTGTCTGGGAGAGGTCATTGAGGTTGGCAAGAAAACGGCTGTCAGGCAACCCCCCTAAGGTGACTTCATTCTCAACCACCAGACACCCCCTGTGTCACTCCCAAAAGTACTTAAATGTCCAAGGGACCCAAGCCAGGTTCCCACAGGGCACTCTCCTATCTGGCTTGGCTGCCCTAGGTTCCAAGTAATGGGATGTTCTGGTTAATAGAGAGCAGGGTAGACATGTCTGCAAGTGCTCCAGCGGAGCTCCCAGGCTCACCCCCCAACCTCAGGGATCCCCAGCAAGCTGCCCTGGGGGCTCCTGCAGACCCAGGTCCTGTCTGGATACCATTATCAGCAATACCATGACCCTCGGCCCAGCCCTTGCTCTGTCCAGGCACTGCCAGCCCTTTGTATGTGTTATTTAGTCCTCCCAAGGTCACCTCAGGTCCCACCCCATGTCCTAGATAAGGAAGCAGTCTCAGTGAGTGAGCTCCCTGCCCTGTCTCACAGTTAAAGGGTGGCATATTTGGGATTTGAACCCAGAACCCCTCCGCTTCCCTTTTCAGCTAACCAGCCCCCACCTTGTATATGTCTGTTGGGTCAGGGGGTCCCTGAGATTCCTGCCCAGATGCCCCCAAGTTTCCATGGCCCTAAGGCTCTGCCTGCCCCACCACCCCACAGAGACCAGCCTGGAAGGTGGCATCTCCCCGGATCTGGTGTTGGAGCGCTCCCTGGACTATGGCTATGGAGGTGACTTTGTGGCCCTAGATAGGATGGCCAAGTATGAGATCTCTGCCCTGGAGGAGGGCCTGCCCCAGCTCTACCCGCTGCGGCCCCTGCAGGAGGACAAGATGCAGTACCTGCAGGTGAGCACAGGGCTGGGGGAGAGGCCGCACCTGCGGGTGGCGGGGTGTCCTGACCTCCCTGAGGCCTCTCCACTCGGAGCCCATCTCACGCCTTCTGCAGTTGCAGGGGTGGCTGTCACCAAGGACGTGCTGGCCAAAGGTCACAGCCTGTGTGGGTGGGCCCCAGCCGCCACCCCCATGGCCCCTGTCACCTGAATTATCTCCTGCCGGCTCAGTGTCCTCAAGGAGCGCCCTCCCCAACCGACCCCAGCTATCTGGCACAGCCCTGCGGCTCGGAGAGACTGCGCCAAACCTCACGGCTCCCAGCCAGGCTGCCCCGGCGCGCAGCCTGATCCCTAACCCATGGAAGGCCCTTCCCCGGGGTGGAGAAGGGTTTGTCCCGGTTTTCCAGGAGGGCAGCTCGGGGTAAAAGCCAGCCGCGTCCTGACAGGTCCCGCCCACGCGGCGCTTCTCCCACGACGACGCGGATGTGTGGGCCGCCGTCCCG